TGTGACGATATATATGACGATATATATACATATGTATATATTTATTATATATATATGTATATATATTTTGTCAAACAGAATTGCCGGGTAAACCGTAGGCAGAGAAGGAGAAGAGGACAACAATAAACGAGGGGCTGCGACAAACTGTTTCATTGGAGTGTCACTGACTCGTCAGGAGGCTGAATCCTCTTCAGTCTGGACAGTCCCCCAACTGACTACACTAAGTAATAATCCACCCTAGGATTTATTGATCACACCAGGCCATCAAAATCACAAAATAATCACAAAATGAGTGCCCAGATGGAGTCCTCCTTTTACAAGGACTCAATCTGGCTGCTCATTTTGCAATTTTGAGGGCCTACTACCTACCGGTACTGCGACTATGCCCTTAACCCCGCCTGTGGCTGTGGTTAAAAGCATCAACGGCTGCCGGACAACTGGTACCCTGAGGTGGTGGGGACCACCAATCACTGCCCTCAAGGTATCTCATATAACTCCGACGAAACAGTTTGTCACAGCCCCTCGTTTGTTGTCCTCTTCTCTCTCTCTGCCTACGGTTTACCGGGCAGTTCTGTTTGTGACGATATATATATATTAAATTTCTGTTTTACGATATATTATATATATGATGAGTCGGTGAAACTCCGACGAAGCAGTTTGTCACAGCGCCTCGTTTATTGTTGTACTCTTCTCCTCCCTCCGTCTCTGCCCGGCACTTTTTTTTTTTTTTTTTTTTTTTTTTTTTTTTTTAATTTGGACCATTTCTCGATTTATGCATGTCATCCTTGAAAGCGCAGGAGCATGGTCCCATTAGCAGTCGGATAGGAGTGTGGCTGATCGAGTGTGACACTGAGTGGCAGCGGCCTGACAGGTTCATTACGAATTTCTGGGCTGAGGAAACAGGAAAAAGGCAAAAAAAAAAAGAAAAGAAACAGGGACCTCCCACTGGAAATCACGGCAGAGTGCTTCCCAGCCATCAGATCACAAATGATCTGATGGATCTGATGGTGGTGGTTGCAACAACAGTGAACGAAGTAACCGCCACATTTTCTGGAATAAACTTAAGAGGCTCGCCACACAGGCTGTGGAATGTCGAAAAATTTCGACAGGTGTCAGAAAAAGTTTGACAGTCCGGCCGTCGACAATTTTGCCCCCCTTCGCCACATAGCCTGTCGAGGGGCGAGGTTGTCGAAAGTTGCCAAGTCGACTCAGCCTTTCGACAGGTGCTGTGTGGCGAAGGCGGTAGGCTGTCGGGAGTTGTTACATGGATGAATTTGTGCACGCTAGCGGACCAGATGCAGATGCCGTTTTCGACAGCCACTGTTGACTACATACGGACAAACAGGCCACGGCTGTCAGGGAGCAGTCTCTGCCGACGCAAATTCGAACCCAATTTTCGAAAGCCCGGCGGGGCACTGTCGAATTTCCGTCACCTGCAGGTGGGAGGAAACGGTTGCTGGAGGGCGGCTGTCGAAAGGACCATTCTGACACCTGTTGAAAGTTTTTTGAGCCGCAATTCTTCGAAAGTCTGTGTGGCGATGCGAAATTGTCGAAAACCCGGTTTTTGACAGCCTGTGTGGCGAGCCTCTTAGGGCCAGATCCCACTAGCCCCTATTGTTCATTTCTGCCCGTCGATCTTCGTAATGGAGGGTGAATAATGACTAATCCAGGGTAGAGGGTGAATAATGAATAATCCAGGGTAGTGGGATCTGACCCTTCACTTCTGTCAGCAGTGATCCTGACACCCTTCTGACCCTTCACTTCTGTCAGCAGTGATCCTGACACCCTCCATATACGCCGTGATTGAAGGAGGGCTCCACCCAATGAGATAATTGCACAACAGCAAACAAAATACTGAAAATCTTCTATCCAGTGGGCCTATCTATGGCTGACCCCAACCTCTTTTGGGGTTGGCCACAGCCCCAACCGATTGGAATGATTCTGGCGGGAAGTTTTCTTTGCACGGGCATGCCCAGTGTTAAGGAGAGGAGGAGGGGAACAAAGATCTCCTTACTTTTCCGGGTAATAAATGTAATGTAAAATACTGACCGTGGGATCACGAGTACTGCACGGCAGGATTTGGGTCACTAATATGCCACATTTCTATCCTATCCCGCGGCTAGTGGGACCATGCTCCAGGGGCCATTTGCTAGTCTTCTCTTTCTCTGTATCGTTCCAATTTTAGCGGATGTCCCGAAGGACTACTCGGCACTTCTGTTCGAAGATATACATGAAGTTCGAAGATATATATTACTTTCTTTTTTTTTCTTTTTTTCTTTTTTTTTTTTGGGATTGACGATACGTTATTACATCTTCTTCTTTTTTTAATTTTAATTTTTTATTTACACGTACTGCATCTTGCTATTACTATATCTACTACAGACTTCTTCCGGTCGGGTGAACCGCTATGGCGGGACGCGTCCCGACCGTATTGTGCTGCGGTGCGAAACCTGTCGTCAGAGTGTGCCAGAAACGCGAATGGAAAAGCGGCCCCCATCCCTGAAATCGTTATGGGCCTACGCTGGCACCCGCAGTAGGGCGTACGTACCCACACTTTCTTAATTAAATGCATCTGACCGCCTTTACGGCCGAATCTGGATGCATCCGACCCCAATTACGTCCGTAAACTAGTAAAAAGGTCATAGCGTGCGTATGCCCTAATTTGGACGGCAGAAAACCTAAAAAGCCGCGAACAAAAGAGAAAAAGAGCAGGGACCATGTCCCATATGCACCGTTTAGTTGAGGCAGCTCAACGTTGCGACAGCTAAAAAAATTCATGTTAATTCGATTTCAAATGAGAAATGCATTTATAAATGACACAGATACAATTGTTCTGGTTTTTCATTTTTCACAATTGGAGTGGCATACGGGCGCTTCCACAGCAGAAAATGAAGAGTTGCCCGAATCCCCTCCAAAAATGGCAAGCGGAAGGAGGCTCGTTCAGTTTCTTTCGAAAAACGCCTTTTGGGGGAACAAGAGGGTCGTTGAACTAGCTGTCTCGAAAAAAGGAGACAGCTAGTTCAACGGAAAGTGGCGAGGGTAGGGGTAGTAGTATTCGAGAGAAAGTGTTTATTTCTGTTTTTTTTTGTAAGAAAAAGCGAAGATAGTATCTATTGCCCTTTTTATAAAAAATGGACCGTTGGATGAATTGGACGCTCTTAATCTCCCTTGTCGCATACAGTCACACAGGGTCAAAAACCCCACGTTGAACTAGCTCAACGGAGCTAGTGGGACATGGTCCCTGAGCTGACGTGGAGCTCGAGCATCGCCATTACTCTCTTTTTTTTTTTTTTTTTTTTTTCCGGGAGCATCGCCATTACGCACGCTTCTTTCCTTTTCTTTTTTTCTTTTTTTTTTTTTAAACTTCTTTCCTTTTCTTTTTCCCTTGAGATATATATCATTATCGAGGTGACCGACGTCGGGGCACTCCGCTGCCCTCGGTGCGCGAGCCTCGGTGAGGCCCAGAAAACATTGCTATGTGGCGTTTGGCAGCGCCGTGGGCAGATAGAGGGGCGCGCTCCATTACTGGCCGGCCACGTACACGAAAGACAAGAAAAATGGCGGTGTATCTTGCCATGTTCTAGCGCAAGATTCAGTCAGAATTTGCACATTTGGACAGAGTACTGGAGCGAGGCGCAGAGTGGATGCACGGTGGCAAGCCCGTTTGGGAGCAGCAGCTCAGACTCTCTGCTCTGCTCTGCGCAGCGTACCGCTGGCGCTGGCCAGAATAGGAAATAATAAGGGGGCTTTGCGTGGCAACCGCCGAATATTGTTTCCCGGGGCGCTTTCCAGAAAAGGAAACAGGCGGCTTTTTGAGTCCCAACCGAATTTGGTTTCCTGGCCAGCACGGACCAGAGAGAATTTGGTCCGTGCTGGCCAGAAACCAAATTCAGTTGGGACTCAAAAAATGTTTTAGCGGAAAATGAGAATGAATCTTCCGCTAGAACACTGGAAGATACAGCGCCAGAGTTTTTGTCTGTTGTGAATGTGGTGAGCAGTGGAGTGAGGCCCTACGGGCGTGGCGAGACGCGCGACGAAGTGCACACGGGCTTTTGCTGCGTAGCGAAGTGCAAATGGGCTCTGGGCAAACCCGAACTCGCACTTTTCGAAATGTATATGACCGTATTTCCTGCCCGAATTGGATGCATCTGGCTGCGATCATGTCCACAGCTGAGTCAAAAAAGCCTTAGTGTGAAGAGTATGGCCTTCCAATGGTGAAGTGCGAACGGGCTTTGCTTTGCGAAGTGCAAACAACCTTTGCTCGGCCAAGTGCAAACGGGGGTGGCTAAGTATCTCTCTCTCTCTCTCTCTCTCTCTCTCTCTCTCTCTCTCTCTCTCTGTGTCTCTTTCTCTCTCTGTCTCTCTCTGTCTCTCTCTCTCTCTCTCTCTCTCTCTCTCTTTGTTCCTCTCTCAGGGTGTACTCACACTAGCACTATTTTAAACGTATATCTGACCGCGTTACGGCCGCGCCTGGATGGATCTGGCTGCAAATCCGTCCCGAAATAAGGAAAAAGGTTTTGCTGTAAGTATGCCGTCAGAGGGGTGTTGCAGATGGGAAAGTGCGTCACGCTAGCACTATCTTAAACGTATCCGACCGCATTACGGTCGTACCTGGATGCATCTGGCCGCAATTCCGTCCCGAAATAAAGGAAAGAAGTCCTGTTGTAAGTATGCCCTCAGAGGGGTGTTGTGCGTGGCAAAAGCTGGCTGATCTGGGAGATGGGCAGAGTGCCGTTCAGGCTCCGTGGCAAATCGAATGATCGTGTTCGCGCGCCGTATGGTCTGTGCGTAAACCGCCGTGACGTCTCTCTCTCTCTCTCTCTCTCTCTCTCTCTCTCTCTCTCTCTCTCTGTGTCTGTGAGAACGGTGTTTGTGAGTGGAGAGGTGCGTGGAGAGGTATTATGCGGCATCGAGAGGGGGAATACGAGAAGTCGGTGTTTCTGGTCGAGAGGGGGGGAAGTATTCATTTTGTGTTATTTATATTCTTATCCCTTTTGTAG